TTTATATCTTGGGCTACTCTGTTTTATTTAGCTGTCTTTTTTTTATGTTTTTTTTTTTACTATACATATATTATTAGAATAGAGTTAGATATAGAGCTTCTTCATCTATTAATATGTAATTTTTAAGGTCTGACACAGGCTTATAACTGTGATCTATCAGATTCTCTTTTCTTTTTCTTCTCTCTTTTATCTTTGTATTTGTTTTTTAGTTTTAGTTTCTTTTTTTTAGTATCTTTTCTTTAGTATTAGTGTTAGTGTTAGTAAAAATTTTTTTTTTTTATATCTCTATGAGAAAATGTCATCAGATTGGCGATATCCTATTGTAGGGCGGTGGTCTGATAGTGTTCGTTTGAGAGAGATAGTGTTTCTATTTTGAAACTTATCACGATATATTCATAGAGATGTATCTGCTTAGTGCAGCTGATCGCTTATAAGTACTTTCGAAGTAACTGTGAGATGCTACTCCTAAATATTATGCTAAGGCATTTGTAATATCATACAATCATAAAGTAATAAAGGAGACTAAAGACAAGATGGCCTAAGTAGAAAAAAAAAAAAAAACTTCTATATTACTACTATATATTTGTTATAGTTATATTACAGAGTTACCAAATATATAAGTAATAAAAATAGGTTTTACTATAATATTTTAATATCCAAAATCTCAAAAACCATAATCTCAATATACTAATTAATATTTAAAAATTAGGATTTAGTTTTTATAGCTTAGTGGTTAAGCTGCCAAACCCCTACAAATTAGATCAATAGTTCAAGTTAGGCTGTAAGCAAAATCTTTAGATTTTAGCTTCTGTAATCTAAAAAGAAGGCTATTATCGAATGCGGAGCCCTGTAATAAGTTCAAGTAAAGTATAAAACCAGAATAAGAAATTTCTAGAAGAAGATCTAATTGTAAAGTAAAATACTATAGTATGATAGCAGTATTACAAAAGGTTTTATTATACAAGGTTTCTTGAATAGGTCTTTTGGTTGGAGTGACCTAGAGGCAACACCAACATCTTTAAATAGATCAGGAAACTGAGTATAGCGTATTTGCTTAGAAGAGTAATATAAAGATAATATGAACTAGAGTAGTGAAAAAAGTGGTGAACACGAGGATGATCTGTGATAAAGAATTGGTTTAACTGGAATTAGAATACTTATAACTAAATACAAGATCTATAAATAAAAACAAAAGTATAATAACATACTTTGTTAATATTAATAATAGATACTATATTTGTGTATTATAAATCAAGGTCTCAGGGTTTTCTTGCAGTACCAATCTGATAGTAGCTATAGCAGAAGACATTACTATCTTTGAAAGCATATTAAATAAGTAGTATACTACAAAATAACAACTGGATATTCGATAAATCAGGTCATGCCGATTGGTACCAATATATAGAAGGCCATGTATACCAATTTGGAAGCTCAAAAGAAGCAAAAAACCTCTGGCAGACACCAAGCTGAAAGAATAAAAGGTTGTTGCAGAAAGTAGAAGCCGATCATTATATCATTAGAAAATATAATAGATCTTGTATAGAATAGAAGAGTTGTACTCCATCCTGGAATTGGTAGATAGAGTTATCAATTAGTTCCAAATAAAGAAAATTATAATTAGATTGCTAGGGTGGGTGTTATTAGAAATAATATAGTACAACTCATGTATTATATACTAATGTAATTCTTTAATTGAAATTAATAAAAGTCATAGCACTATAGTGATTTAAAAAAAAAAAATTTAATGATTAATAATCATATTAACAATCATTATCAGACTTTAAATTTTTAATTATCATATTACATAAGGGTATAGACATTTATCACCTGATTTTTTAGAGAGAAGAGGGTCAGAGAGATTATCAGGTGCTATATAATATAGTATTATTAGCCAATTAAAATTGTCTAATTTAACTATATAAAATTTTTAATCATAATAATTAAAAATATAAAAATTATATTAGACTTAAAGTAGATTTTGCTTAATTGTAAAAAATTTTATTATATAAATCAATTATATATATTAAGTAAAGTTTGTTTAAGAGATTAAAATGCATATATTTTAAAAATTTTATATAAATCAGATAACTTTTTATTACCGTATAGTTCTGAAAATAAGCACCCCTTTTTTGCATCTAATGCTGGCCAAGATCATCATAATGCAGGCCAAAATTGGTTTAGTGCAAGCCAGAGGTGCTTATTTTCGGATGGTGCTTATTTTCAGAACTATACAGTAATTAACTTTTGCTTTTTACATTTAATAAATAGAAATTTAAAGAAATTTTTAAATTTTTTATTAAACATAATATACAAAAATGTTGTAATATGTTTGCTTGGCTTAACTAAATATTAAATATAATAATAATAAAAGAGAATTGCTAATCTTAACCGGGGGGAATTTCCTCCCCTGTTACGTGACTGCATGAATACATATTAAAATTTATTGTAATACATAGTAATATATAAATAATATATATTACACAATATAAATATAGGCAAAATAAGTTCACTAACGCTAATGTATGCAATGCTTTCGTCAAGAAAAACATACTAACAAAATTATACTTAATGAAAAGTAAACTTGTAACTGCAAAAATTCTATTAATTTACCCTCTATAATAATACACAGCAAGTAGATTGCATTAGTAAAATTATCGTTAGTGTATCGTGATTACTGTACGTACATATATAAAAAAAACTTTATTAAAAACTTACAAGCTGTAGTGATACAATACGATACAATATGTATATATGTGCATAGATTACATTCGGTCAGTCAAAATTTTGACATAGAAGAAAAGCGCATATGAAGTACATTTACGGAAAATTAACTGTACGTATATAAGAAATGGATACGTATGTACATACCTAAGTAATATAATATTGTAACGCAGATTAGAACAGGTACGTACATATATACACAGAAATTAACACGATAAAGACAGTTCACAAAGACAAAATCTCAACATAGACTATTTAATCTAAAACCTTACTTAATACGAAAAAGGACTATGCGAATATTACCTTAACTCTAACTTTTAAAAAGAGAACGCTCATAGAGGTTTACATTAATTGATGCACCACATTCGATTATTTGACTAATAGATTGAACATATTAGATGAATCAATAAACATGTCAAGAAAATCTAATAAAATATACTTACTAATTGTTATTGAATTGATCATTGTTGTAGACTTTTAGTATGTGTTCAATATTGCGCTAGCCTTAACGTTAGTATAGTTAGTATATACAATCAAATTTCGTTAAACTATAAAAAAACACAAGAAAATGTTTAAAGCAACTACTAAGAGCAAAATAAAATTCATATTCTAAGCTAAATACATGTAAGTTAATATAGTCAATACAAATTATAAACTAAATCAATTTGTAAACAACATGTAAGTTGTATACTAATTATCATTAATTTCAGCTTTGCAGGTAGCCCGATTATGACCCTTTTGTTCACATTTTTGGCATTGCTTTCTATTGTCAGATGATTGAATATTAGTATCAGTATTGGACAAACATCGACGTTTTCTTGCATTCGATTCTTGAATTTCAATAGCACTTTTTGCTCTGCCAGGGGGTCTTCCTTTTCTTGTGGAAATAACAAGATTGGTGATGGGAATATTTTTGGATTGATTGTCTTTGTTTAACATTAATTCCTTGTTTGTAAGAAATTGATGACATAATTCGATAAATTTATCATATGAATTAGTGTTGATAGCAACATCGATAACTTTCTTCATTAATCCATATGCATAAGCATATTTTGATCAGATATTGTTTATATTTCGAAGAATTGGAGTGTATAATTCATCTCCCCGAAATTGTGTTAGATGTTTAAGATTGAAAGTGCAATTAGTTGCATTATAACTATTAGATGATTCTATATACAATGAAATAGGACTATATTGTATTAAAAAATCTTGGTCATTGTCCACTTTGTCATTTCTATACCACCGCTTTAACACAAGACCGATATGCCATTGTGCACATGGAGAAGTTCGAAGAACCTTGTAGAAATGATGACATGGATAGCCATTTGTAATTAACATATTACAAGTACACCTATGTGAGCCATCTGAAATTAATATCACAAATTGAGATTTCATGCTACAAGAAAAAGTAACGCACCAAATTTCAAAAATCTTCGAGCTTTCAATTGTCTTCAGAATGTCTATCAATAGAATTTGTGTTAATTCATAATCATCTTCACGTGCCCTGTCATTTACATTATCATCCGAGTGCATCTAAATACAAAAAAAAAAAAAAAAAAATTCTAATAACAAAAGTAAAACCTTAGTTAATTTCATCATTAGATGAAACCAAAAAAGAGTGAAATTCGAGTTTTTTTGATTACTTTTTTGATGCAGATCTGCATTTAATTAGCGATAAATAATGATATGCATTAATAACGTAACCACCTCTAACCTTGTTGTTTAATATAATGAAATGATAATATACATTTTTAATTGAACTCAAATCGGTAATATCAAGCTTATAAGCGTTATAAAAAAAGCATTCTTGTATTTGTTTACAAATGTATATTGACACAGGTTCTGTTAGATACTCATCCACAATAATAGTTAAGGAGTTAAAAAAGGGTTTTGGTACAGTCGCAAGTCCAACCATTGGTACTTGACTTTTATACTCTTCAACACAAGTATATTCAGATTCCCGATTGAGCAGATCTTGAATTTCTTTAACAAGAGTCATTAGTGATGAATTCGCTTTAACACTATCATAAATCTTTCTATTAAAACTTTTAACTCATTGTGTACTATTCGCTCTCACGGTAAATTGATTGTTAATATAACAAATTGCCCACTTCATTTTGGTAGGCTCAAGTTGGCATTTGATATAACTGGTGGCAGCTATATACTTGGACTTAAGGAATTCAAATCTATTCTCAAAAACGTCAACCACCATTGTATTTCGGCATGTGTAAAAATCTTTAAAAAACTCATTGAATTGTGCTGTATTCATTTTGTTTCTTAAGTTTTTCTTTAGATTAAGGTTAATATGAAATAAATATAGACAATATAAAGACCCCAGAAACATTGTTAGAATCGTATTTGATATTGCTGGGTTAGAATCTGTATAAATTACCTGCGGAGCTAAATTATCAATGCATTTGTTAATCATATGAAGAGCTCAGGTAAAACTCTCTTTAGTTTCATCTTCTAGTAAAGCAGTGGCGACCAGGTGAGTACGGTTGCAATTATCAATAGTTATGAAAAAGCACGCAACTATATTATATTTGTTGGTGCGTGATGTGGTATCAAAAAAATTAATATCACGATATCTTGTCTAAATATTTTGTTGTTCAGGAGAAAGAAAAATAAGACTACATAGCCTTCATTTAGGACCATCAAACCTAGCCTCCACAAACCATCTAGGATCATTAGTTTTGAGATGGTAAAGATGCTGCATAAGATTTGTTGCATCCAAATCATTACTTGATGGGAGTTTTTTTTTTGCTCTCTGAATAGCGTTATACAAATTTTTCTTATAAATTTTTCGATCCAGAAATTTATCCTTTAGAAGTTGTTCTATGTTCCGCGCCCTAGTTGTACTATGTGCTACACAAAAATCGATAAATTCCAGCATATCTTCACCTAATTTATGATAGTTTGAAATTGTAATTGATGATGCAGGAGATATTAGATGGTTGTGTATATCGACGACAGTTGTAAATGTAATTATTGATGATGACTTAGGCATATTCCTGTTAATTCTCCATTCACATCCGGTACATTTTGATTTACGATTTTATTGGTCCTCTGGCTTTAAAACCTTTTTAGGTTGATAATTACCAGAACAACTATATTCTCAGCTAACTTTACATAGAACTTCTTTACTATCCTCGATACATAATTTACTGCATTTTTTTCGAATACTAAAACCTTGTTCCAGTCCATATTTTTTTCAAGAAATCCTCAACATCATCCCATGTTTGAAATGTCTGGCCTTTATAAATTTTTAACGCAAGTTCCTCATTCTCTTCATCAAAAGAATCCTCATTGAACATCTCAATTATATCAGGATCATAAGGTGGACTTATGGGAGACGCTTCTGTATCAATTAGGCTATTTTTGAAAGATAATTGTGCTTGTCTATTATTTTCTAAACTAACACTACTTCCTTCACCACTTTCTTGACTTTGTAACGGATCCATTATGTGTACATTCAATATGCGAAAAGCTTCAACCTTTCGAATGTTTAGTGGCGGTAAAATTATAACTGCAGTTCGAAGATGGTGAAACTTGAATCCACTGCAGTTTAGAAGACAGTTAAACTTGAATCCACTGCTTTAAAAAATTTATAGTAATGAAAACCAGCAATTAAAAGGTGAGCAAAACTTAAATTTTAAGCAGTGTACTAATATAAACATACCAATCAATTGTTAAACAGCATGAGGTTAAAAAATCTTGCAATACTTTAAACTCTTGAAATTGAACCCGCAAATAATGTTTTAGTGATGGGTGTAAAATTTTGATGTATCTTGAATATACCAATGTATATATAGTATTAGGCAATGTGAAATAAATAAAATCGCAACCCTTAAATACTATGTCTTAAAAAAAAGAGATCAGTATTGTCTAATCGAACCTTTATTTATTTATTATTACGTAATATTTCCTTGTTAAGATAACAATTGTTTATTACTCTTTTTGTATATTACATGATCGTTAGAGTTATTATTATGCATTGTACCTGCATTTTGTATCACTGAGAAAATCCCCTCCTGTTAAACATAGTAATTCTTATAATAAAATGTATCATTGCCAGTTAAGTCAAACAAATATATTATTTGACTTAATGTATAAGAGTAGTTAAGGAATGTTTTAAGCAAGAAAAACTAAAGAAAAGCCTAAAACTAAAACAAAAATATTATAAAATAACTAAAGAAATAATCAAAAACAAATAAATTTACTCAAGTATAAATCAAAATTTCACTATAAAAACACAATAAAAATACCATAAACCTACTATATATTCAATATAGAATTACAGTTTATTATATAATAATAAGGCTTTTAATACAAAAAAATAGGCAAAGAGAAGAGTCAAATAAACCCAGAAGCGATGTAAATATTCAAAGGATTAATTAAGAAGTATATATTGATGTCCCTCTGCCTTGGGAAAAAGGCAGGGTTTATATATCTTTTGATAATACTGTATAATAACAACATGTAATAATGCTAGGAAATAATGTCGTAAATCATTATATTACTAAAGTAAATCATTGCAAATCATTGCAATAACACTATATACTATTATTTTAGTTATCATAATGCTATTCTAAGGCTAAAAATAGTTACAAAAATAATAACAACATGAAATAATGATATCTAATAACGCCGTCTAATAATATTATATAATAATGATATAAAATAATGCTATAAAAGACCCGTGGGTCGATAGCGCAGTGGTTAGTGCTCCCGGGTCACAATCGCAAGGTCACGAGTTCGAGTTTTACTGGGTGACGAACGGCTCTGCCAGAACCACGATTGACTAAGATCTTTGGAGGATTTTCTATTAAAAAATAAAGAACAAGACTCATACAAGTTGCAGTCCGCCAGTATAGCCACAGGGCCAAGGACGACCAGATAAGGCGTAATCTGGCAATAAACGATGCTAAAATTGAGAAAAACCCAGCTTAAGGATATATAAAAGGACGATCCGGCTTGTGGGTCATGTGAAGTTAGGGAAC